CCCTGTTTCTCTTTCAACCTTGGCATGAAAATACTTGAAAACATCCAACACCTTATCCTTAGATTTCAAGGCAAATGTCCACACCTTTCTGGAGTGGTCATCAATAAATGTTGCAAAATATAATACACCACCAAGAGATCTTTCATGTAACAAACATCAGTTTGAACTAAATCTAAAACATGAGGCTTTTTAGATGGAGGAAATTTATGAAATGCAACTCTACTCTGTTTGTCAGCTAAGCAATGTACACATGTTTAAAGAGGCATACCTTTTACATCAAGAAGAAGATTTTCTCTAGAAAGTATCTAAAGCCCTTTTTCACTCAAATGTCCAAGCCTCCAGTGTCAGAGCTCAATGGATGAGTCATGAACTGCATTCACATCTCCTTTGCTCAACCTTGCTTGCATCATATAAAAGGTATTGTGCTTCTTTCACTTTGCCACAACGAGTGAACCCCGATTGAGCTTCTATTTTCCATCACTGAAGGTGTTTGCATAACATTCGTCATCTAACCTACTAGTGGAAATAAGATTTAGGCGGATATCCGGAACATGCCTAGCATTTTTCAAAATTAATTTGCAACCGATATTGCTATTTAGACAAATATCTCCTATACCAACAATCTTGGATATACCATCATTCCCCATATGAACATGTCCAAAGTCACCAGTAGCGTAAGATGTGAAAAATTCACATGGGGAGTAACATGAAAAGAAGCACTTGAATCTATAACCCAATCACAATCTAGGCATGCAAAATTGACATAGTTATCATCACAAACAATAATGATATCACCCTCGGCTGCAACAATTGTAGTATATTTCTCTTCTTTCTTGCCTTCACATTTTCCTTTGGCTTGTTCTCTTTTTTAAATCCTGCATTCATTCTTATAATGTCTTAGTTTATTACAATGATGACAAATGATATTTTTCTTGAACTTTGATCTTCCTCTAGATTTGTCATATTTGTTATGGGGACCTCTGCTCTTACTTCTGCCTTGTCTTTCTTTCTTTTCTGCCACAAGAGCTTAAGATTCTGAGTAAGTCTCTTATTATTTCCTCTTTAACTCTTCATTCAACAAGGCATCTTTGACTGTGCCAATGGTTACAATGCCATTAGGGGCTGAAATACTGACTGAAATCACCAAGGATTCCCAACTGTCAAGCAATGAACTAAGTAACAACAAAGCCTGCACTTGATCATCTAGATTCAATTTCATGGTAGTCAATTGATTTATCAAAACTTGAAAATCACTAAAATGTTCAAATATATTAGTACCATCTTTATATCTTAAGTGTGCAAGTTTTCTAATCAAGGCAATTTTGTTTAAACCTGATTTCATTTCATACATAGATTCTAATTTTTTCCATAAAACATCAACCCTAGTTTATTGTGCAACATGGTGAAAAATGTCGTGGTCAACCCATTGTCAGATTTGGCCTACAATTTTTCTATACATAATTCCCCATTCATCACTTGACTTGTCACTTGGCTTTGCTTCATCACCTCTTATGGGTAGGTACAAATCCTTGCAACAAAGAATGTCATCCATTCTGGGTTTTCAAATAGTATAGTTCGATGAAGATTTTATCATAGCACCCGAGGATTCCTCCATTTATATCAACACAAACAACTGATTTAAGCAAACCTGGCTCTGATACTACTGTTGGGGAAGATACACTACTGGTAGTAAAAATGAGTGTAAAAACAATCCTAGGACAGCAAGAACCTTTTCCCTAAGTTTGTGAGTCAAAATGGATTTACCAACAACAATGATAACAAGTAAACAATTCAGCCAAGTAACAAAAAACCAAATAGCAATCAGCACACAATAGCAAACTGGAATTTTTACATGAAAAACTCCAAAATTGGAAAAAAAAACTACGAGACCTATAGTTCGTAAAAATCTTCCACTAATTCAGAAGTTAATGGGTACAACAGTCCTTTCTAATTGCAAATAGAGGCTTACAAACATCAAGGAACAAGTACAACATTAACATCACCAAATGCAAAGTGGATACAACAAAAAACAGAGGTTTAGATCTCATGAATTTGTTGTAAATCTGAACTAAGAAATAGAAGAAGGAAGAATCAACAAATCTGAACTAGAGTGGGATTCTTAACTCCAGCACTTAATCTCATCAAGAACGGACTTTGAACACCTCTGAGCTTGGCCTCAAACGGAGTAGAAAAAACCAACTCTCTTCTTCATAAACTTAAAACCCAAAAACCCTTGGCTCTCTGTTTTCTTCTCTCTTGTTTTTCTCAATAGGGTGATTAGGAACATATGAGACCCAAAAAACAGAAAAAGGTGGAAGCCTTTTTCTTGCACTATACAACTCCTTTTGGGAGCATGTAAAGGTGGGGTGGGCCCCTATATGGGCTGAACCCACACCCAATAATATGCAAGCAACAAAAAAAAATGAAATATAAAAAACAAACTGAAAAAAAGTACAAAAACAAATAAAAAAAATCAAAATGGAATAAAAAAAGAGAACCATAAAAGCTATAATGAAGTAAGTACCACATGAAAGAAAGCAACTTATACCTATAAAGATAAAGAAATGCGAGCAAACAAATGAACCTCCTACAAGACTGCGGTAATAAAAGGAATGATAATTAAATCAAATATGCAACAATCAATTGGCTATGTGAGCTCTTTTTTGACACTAACCTTCAAACCACTAGTTAGTTTTAGTCAGTCATCGTAACGTGATTAAGATTGGAATACTAACCACCCCTCAAAGCATACTGCCATTTACACATGGTTGGGAATTGGAAGCAACGATGGTGATGGATTTGAATTCTACAAAAAAGGAAAATCGACTACTACCGAAATAGGGGTTCAATTAGGGTTTTTGCCAAAATCATGGATTCCCTCTCTTTCAACTCCAACGCAAGAAGTAACAGAGCTTTGACATTAAACTTTAGCGATATATCGATTGGAATAGAGAATGGGGTGGAGAACGGTTTAATTTTGGTTCTAAATAATAAACGACGAAAATACTGCCATCCAACGACGTGACATGTTTTGGTTTTCTAGGCGGTGGTCTATTTTAAACCGTCACCTCAGCAACATTCTTTATAACGGCGGTTCTAAACTACCGTTGTCGTTTTTCTTTATAGGTAAATAAAGGGGTTCTAACAGATAAATGCAACTTTTCGTCCTGAATATCAATAAAAATAATATTTTTATAAAATAATAAAAAAAAAAAAGCAAAGCCATGATACTGTTCATTGTCTTCCTCTGCATCAATAAAAGAAGCGAATATGTCGGTTTCAGCTCTCTGTCTCCCCTTCCTCCGCCTCCTCTTACTCGTATGCATCGCCACTACCGTCACACCCTCCGCCTCCGCTGGGCCCTGATAATGAATTACGGTTGCCAGCGGTGGTACATAATTTATGTCCAGGTACGGATAATGAATTGCCCATGCAAGGTTATTGATGTGAGGTGATGGATAGTGATCCTCAACTGACGGCACCGGAAAGCCACCATTCTCGTTCTCGCTTGCTGGATACTTCCTCCCTTTATCATTCAGTTTATAAGAGAAATTCAAAACTCCATTTGTTTTTTCATCGATAGACTGGACCTGATAACTGACGAACCTAACGGATCCATCAAACTCATCCACGAGATGTTTGAATGGGACACGAACTTCTCCGATACTCTTATCTCCGAAGATGATACCGTCGCAGCACAAATCAAATTCGATATAGACATGATCGCAATCAAGAAAGGAAATATGTTTCAGATCGAATTCCATCTCGTGATTCCATTCAGGGTTTCTGTCTCCATTTCTATCGATTGGTGTTTTCTGCTTCTACGGCTGAAGTGGTTGATTTTGCTGTGACGGTAGCGGCGACGCATAAGAGTAAGAGGAGGCGGAGGAAGGGGAGATGGAGAGCTGAAATCGGCATATTCGCTTCTCTCTTACAGACGCTGAGGAATACAATAAACAGTGTTATTGTCCTTCCTTAATATTTAAAAAATTTTTTATAAAAATATTATCTGAAATAAACTAAACTTCTAATTTACCATCAGATTTTGGGTGATTATATGTAAATCTCATTTCAACTGGGAAGAAAAATATTTCTCCCACATCCGCCCTACCCATGATCGAAAATATCAAAAATGCCCATCCAATTTAAGGCACCGAGAAGGTTTTATAGGGCCATCCCAATACCGCATCTTGATTTTCACACTTAAATAATAAACCTGATAATTATAAATAAATAAATCCTAAACTGATAGTAAGGCCTAAACTTTGATCACTTTATCCTAAACCTCCCACCCTAACCTTAAACCTTATAAATTCTAAACATAAAACCCTACGGCCTAAACTTCAAAGTTCAAACCCTGAACTTACAGTTAAACCCGGCCTAAAACGAACTTATGGCTAAACCTTACACTCTAGAAGAAAAAAAATGAAAATCAAATGTGGGGTTATAGCATTGAATTAACATATAAAATGCTATGAAGCGATGTGAGGCGAGACCAACTCAATGCCGACAAAATTATTAAAACCCTAAAATTAACATATAAAATTGAAATACTTCCCAAGGGGGTAGAATATTATATATGATTTACTTGCTCCCAAAAGGGAAGAAAATCTATTATATATTCTTACCCAATCTGTAGCGTAATCTGATTTTCTGGAATATTTATTTATTTATTTATTATCGTCAATTTAGAAAGCCATGCCACAACAATTTTAATTTTCTCCTTCATAATATTATGCTGGGGTTACTTCTGCTAATTAGACTTTCATTGTTCATAGGACAAATTCCAAACAGCCAAAATATTTCTCAGCAGTTCATTCAACAGATAAGTTGTAGGAGTCCCGGTACACGCACATGAGAGTGAACAGTCAACCTAACATACGTACCGACTACCGAGGCAACAGAGAAATAGTCGAACCCTAATTCAAAAGCACAAGTATATATATATATATATATATATATATATATATTAAACCTAAATTACATACCACGAACAATAATAAATAATCCATTTCAACATTCAACCAAACATTATCTACAGCCTATATAACAAGAGACCCTAATAAGAAGGCCATGAACATCTATGATATATCTATATTCCCAGCCGGCCGGCCGGAGTGTAGGTAGGGGTAAGTCGGAGCCATGGTTGAGTTGAAGCTGCAGTCCTATGGGTGGTGCTGGCCGCCCTGTCCCTGTGCGCCAACCACTGGAGCATGATGACCACCAAAACCGTGGGCATTCAATCTCTCCGCCTTATGCTCAGCCTTCGCCTGGTGCAGCTCCGTCTTGGCTCGAGCCTCTTTAGCCTTCCTTCGCTCGTGGGCCATCTCTCTCTCTCCTTCAGTCCTCGCCGTCGCCTTCTTTACCTGAAAATATTACATACAATTCATAAAACGCTATTTCATTCTTAGAAAAGATTAAGTGCTAATTACCATGTACGTACGTAAACCATGGCGTAGAGAGAGAGAGAGAGAGAAAGACCTTCTCCTCAGCCTGAGCGCTGCAAATGGTAATTTTCTCTTTAGCAACACTAGCCAGGTTACTCAATTTCTCCTTAACTGCTTGCATTTTCGGTTTCTCTTCTAAGTCTAGGCTTGAAAAATTATCTGCATGCATGCATGGACTTAATTACCAGCTTCTTTCTCTTTGGAGTCGGTGCCTATTGCTCCCGAAGCATTAATTAATTGCCACGACATCTGTTACATGTCAGCCATGCAAGCATTTCAACTTCTGCTAATGCCACGCCAAAAGCGGTCGTCCGTGGTTTTTTTTCTCTTTTTCTTTTGTGCTAGTCATTGTAGAGCAAAATTTGTTTTATTTGTACTTACTTGCAGTGTAAATTTTTTGTCCTGCAAAATTTGCATCACCTTCTTCTTACTTCAATTTCTCTCACATAAAATGGGAACTATGAGGGTCGTGCCTCAGCCAGTTGAAGTTGCCACGTAGATACTTCCATGTCCTGAGCCCAGTTGATTCCGTTGGGCTATGCCAGTGGGTTAGCATGGCACATTCGGACATACTTAGGTCGGCGGATAATCCCACAAGTCTAAGCTCTCTTTCTCTTATACTTCTCTCCTTAGCCTGGACCAGCTCAGCTCGGCAATTTCATCACTCTCTACTGACTTAAGCATGCCTTCCGTGGAGAACACATCCTTGGGCCATCTCCCTCGGCTCTAGCTCAAATCGGACAATACTTTATCTTATTTCCTACTTCATTCCCAATAAATATCTCTCCTATTCAGTCTTTTTTTCATATAGATTGGACACCACTTCATTTGAAATCCTACTTTTAGAACATCTCACAAGCAAATAAGACAGTCAAAACGTACAAAAATGCTTAACGACCCTCACATTAAATATCAGAGAAAGAGAGAATTATTCGGGAGATTCACCTAACCACGGTTTTTTAATGTAGCATCAAAATCTTTCTGACCAATTAGTATAGTGGGGCATTAGGGATTTTAGTGGCAGGGGCAGAGTGTTGGAATGTGAAAATTTGAATGGCTAAGAATAGGGTTAACACTATTCGGTTAAAATCGAAAAAAGTGAACCGAAATTTTTTGTTTCGATCTTTTTTATTTTTAGAATTAGAAATTCAGTTAATTGAATTAATCGAGTTCCTATTATTATATATAAGGTATAGTATATAATATGTAACATATAATCTATAATATATTATATATTTATATTTTAATACATAATATAATAAAATTTTATTTTATTTCATTTATATATTATAATATATAGCAAAGTATATTTTATTAAAATTCGGTTTTAATTGAAATAACCAAAAAATCAAACTGAAAATTTTGATTTCGGTTATTTTGGTTWTTTTTTTATAATTCGGTTTTAGTTCAGTTTTAATTTTTTTAGTTCAATTTTTTAAATCTCAGTTTATTCAGCTAAAAACCTATATGAATAAATGAATGCTCACTCCTAGAGGTGTAAATCGGGTCGTGCAGTTAGACCGTAGACTAGGCCAAAGCTATTTATTTAAAAATTAAAAAAAAAACTGAAAATTTTAATTATATATGAATTTTGATGTATACAATTGCTTATATATACAATAATTAAATAAATTAATATAATAAAATTCGAAAAAATTGTTTATTTCATTAATATATTAAATACTATATATTATTATATAATTATAATTTATAAAAATATATTATATATTATATATTATATAATAAATATATAAAATATATAAATATTTTATATATATATATATAAATAATATATATGGGTCGTACTATGGGCCTCAGTCGTGCCATGCCAACTCGGTCCGTGAACCTAAAACCCYAGGCCCAGCACGACCCACATGATCACGTCGGGCCTCCCGATTTATACCTCTACAATCACCCTTAGCTAAGAATAGGTTTATTCACAGGAATTTGAATCAGAATCAAAACGATCCATATTCTAATTCTAACCGTTTGATTGGATGAAATCAAAATCTTATAATTCCCTTTTGTAGTGGAATTGGGCCATTCCTTCTCCATTGGGAATGAGAATCTATATCAGGTGATTCCAATTCTAACTCAAATTTTTGTCTGAATTAAAAATTTAAGGAGAATAGGCGATTTTGATTCCAACTACCAACCTGACCGACTTTTTAAGAGTTACTGCTCCCCAACGTTCTGGGTACTGGTTTGGAATTTACCCTACTATTCACAATCCCTACCATTAATCTGAGTGGGTGTTTGGATGATTGTATTTCTAATCTTAATAACTTTTATGTTTTTGTAGAACATGGATGCAGACCTACAGCTAATGACTTTGCTGTAAACCCAATAATTGATTGTCATCTGTTTTTCGCACCGGTGGTTTAATTATTTAATAGAATCCACCGTTAGACTAATAATAATATTAATTTACCTTTTGTTATTTATCTTTTAATTTGTATAGATAAAAATTCTAAGAATTATACATTTTTTCTTTCCATCCTATTTTCACTCTTCATCTTTTCCTCATCCTCTCTTCCTTCTCCCAAAACTTAATCTACTAGTTTTCTTTTGTATGAATTCAAGCAATACAACTAGAATATTTTAATTAAAAAGAATTAAATCCATCAATTACAAAGAAAGTTAGAGATCCATACTGATTAACAACTAAGATGTTTTTACTTTTAATTGGGTTTCTAATCCTTATTTGATTGGATATCTAGGTTGTTGTATAATCTTGTTTGGAATGTAACCTGTAGATAAACAACTGTTATACATTAATTCATTGCATGAACACTGAGAATGTAGATACCTGTGTTGGGCAAGTGTTCATAGATTCATTGGATTTCTAGGTTGTTGTATGCATTGATTCAACCAAAACACTTTGAATTAAATAACAAAACTATTTAACCTAATGATTTACTATGTTAAGTAAACCATACATCAGAAGACCACCACATGTGCAAAGAACAGTGGCGATTAGTCATTGGGTCTATAGCAAAGTCTTTAGTTGTAAGTCTACAACATATTTGGGTTTCGTTTTTGTATACCATACAATGCATTATAATTTACTATTGTTTTGAACACAAATATGACTAACCTCCATTAAGCCACTTAGACCTTGTTTATATCTCGGTAAATGATTTGAATAAATGCAATTATTCGAGCAAATGTTTTTTTGGAAAACACTTATCCGTATATGAACACTTACCAGTGTTCTTTTATTTTATTATTAACAGGACCTGTGCAATACACGGATATTGTTAAGTGAAAGCTAAATAATAAAAACACATGAGAATAGATAATTGTTTATATTTCAACTTTTTAAATAATTAGTAATTAATCATATTTTATACATTATTTTTAATAAATATTTTGCAATATAAAAATAGCAATCATTAATTTCAGTTAGGTATGTTAATCAAATTGATGAAATCGACTAACCCGACCCAACTTAACCCAAGTTGGTTGGCTTCAGTTAAACAACTTTCTAACCAACTAGGTTAAGTTAGTTTTGGTTTCACCATTTGTAAACTGACCAAAATTGAATCACTAAACCATATATTTCTTAGTCTAAAATATTTTATATTGTAAACATAAATTTTTTAATTTCCTTTTAAATAGTATTATTGTAATTTTTAAGTTTAAATTTAAATTTAAAGTTTAAGTTAAATATATTGAACCGACCGACCCAGCCAAAAACTAACCCAAACCGATAACAATTTTTTCAACCCATCATTAACTTGACCAATTGAACCGTTCAAACCGTCACCTAACCTTGATTCTGGGTTTGGTTCTATTGAAACCCGCCCTTTGGTCAAAAATCATTCGACTTCGACTATAATGGTTCAGTCGTTTCGACCCAGCCACCAAATTATGGATGCACACTTAATGTATGTGCAAACTTTTAGAGGTCATAACTTTGCACTCAAATATCCAATTTAGTTTTTTTTTTATTTATTTTAGGTAACCTTCTAGAATCTATGTGTTCTAAGGTGCTATGGGCACCTTGTCTCGCTATTTTCACAAAAACCTCATTTTTGCCTTGAATCGTAATTTTTAATATTTTATAAATAAAAATTTTAAAATTGAATTAAAAATATATATTAAATATAAAATAATGCAATAAAACATAATTATATACTAGATGGTCGAACCAGTGACCTGCAACCAGAGGCAAAAGTGGCCCACCATATATAATATATGTGTCTTGATTAGAGGTAAGGGAGTAGAGATTAGTTAAGGATCAAAGGAGGAGAGAGAATAAGAGTGGAGAAATAAGAGTTTAAGAGCAATAAATTAAGAATTTTGAGAGGTTCAGGGAGAAGAGACGCTACACAACCATCAACCATGAGAACCTAATTGAATGTTTTTAGGGGTATATTATTGAAATCTTCACCAAAGTTTTTCACTATTGCTGAAACCTCCCCTAAACTTTGATAATAACACTCACCTCTTGAATTTTCTGACATAGTTGCAAGTAGATCCCTTTAAGTAAAATCTTTAAAAAGGAAACACAAAAATGTTCAAAATACCCATGAGATTGATTCTATAGAAAAATAATACAAACTCTATAAAAAAAGATAAAAAATATAAAATCTAAAGTTACAACTTTAGATTTGAGCAAATGATATGGGCAAATTGGAAAATAAATCAATTTTCAAAAAAGAGATTAAAAAGGTTTGGAATAACAATTTATATGAAAAGAAAATTGAAAAATAAACATTTTACATGAATATTTTAGACATTTTCATTGATATTTTAAACATTTTCATGTCTTTTTTTAAAAGATTCTAAAAAAAGGGCCTACTTGATTGCAAATACCAAAACACCATACAAAATACAAGTATTTGCATAAATAGTATCCTATTTTAGGGAAAATTCTTAAATAGTATCCTAAACTTTGGAGAAAGTGTCAATTCAGTGTACCGATCTAGGTCTTTGCAGTACCAAATTCAAATTGTATCCAATAGATCCCTACCTACATCTACTGCACATTAAATAATTTCAAAATAACAAATTTATAATTTTCCCATTTCCTCTAAATGTTGTTAATTTAAGGAAAGGAAAAGGATTATCCCCATCCCTTCTTCCCAAAGTTCAGGGTAGTATTCAGGAATTTCCCTAAACTTTTATCTAACAAACACGAAACACAATGACAACCAT